TAGGGGGAAATGACCTTAAATTAATCTAACCTGCATTATGAGATTAGACTCGCAAGGACCTGAGAATTTTATTGGTGTGAGAAGATAGCTCTTTCCTTTAGGCACAACAAACATGGCTCCTAATTTGGCCGAGCAAGCTGCCTTCCAAGCCTTCACAAATGCCTGAAATGGCTTCACATTAGCTCCATTTGAAGAAAAAAAAAAACATGCATATTGATTGCTTGAAAGAGAAGAAATCCCAATATCTACTTATATGACTATCACCCTGACATAAGGTTTTGGATTCAAGTTAAAACATGAAAAAAATGTGTATTGAGAAATGAGTACCTGGGTATCATCTGTTCCATCAGCTTTAGCTCCAAAATCATCAACGCTAACTGTTATAACTGAACTTGACAAGGCAGCCTGCAGATCGAGTTGAAGCTTGATCAAATCCTGGAACCTTCCATTATCTATGGAGGTGAAATAGGAAGGATATGTGCTCGGATCATATCCACCCACCTCCTGAATGAAAATATTGTGAAGTGGATCCTCTTCTAAAGTGTTGGAACAAGAGAATATAAAGAAAAAGGTTATAAGAAAAGTACTGATGTTGATGAGGAGATGACTTTGTACTGCTGCCATTATTCTTCCCTTGTTTTGGACGACAGAGAAAAGAGAAGTACCGGTATGGAGAATTTGATATGGAATGCTGTGAGAATGGGTATGTTGGTGAGGGAAAATTACAATGATGAGCTGCTATATTTATAAAGAAAAAGGAAGACAAAAGAAGAAAGATTTGCTTATTTCTGTTGTTGGTTTTTTTTTTTTTTTTAAATAAACAAAATATATTCTGTTATGCTGTCCTTTAACTAGCAGTAATGAAAATGATGATGAATTTCATTTTTTTTTTTTTAAGTGTAAGGGTTAATCAATAAGAAACTATATATAACAACAAGATTTGATAGTATATCCTTGATATAACTGTTAAAGGACTTTATTAATTTTATTGATTAAATTTGAGCCAAAGAACTAGGGTTATCATGTCGAGTTTGGTTTATTTGGGTTTTTGATGTTTTAATTTTTTATGGGGTTATCTTCGAGCTTTCATAATTAAGTATTTTATTTTAATTTTTTTTTTTTTTTTCTGCTAATGCAATGGATTTCCCCTTTTTTGAGCAAAAACAATTTTAAAAGAAAAAATTAAAATGAAGAAACAAAAGAGATTGCCGTTTCCTTGTGCAAGACTTCTGTGGTGTGGGGGGGGATGACAAATTGAGACGCAATGGTTTCTTTTGGCCAGTTTCACATGACTGTTTTATGATTACGCCTTTATGCATATTACTATATACTTCATGCTTTAATAGTTTCTCAACTAATAAAAATTTGATATTTTAAATCTAAATCTTAAGATAATTAAAAAAATTTCACATGGAAAAAATAAATGAAATTTGTAAGGCTTATATATAAGATCGATTACTTCATTTATTGCTAACCAATTGATTTTTCATTAAATGTATGCTTTAAATTTCAACTTATAGGAATGCTACTATACAACTTATCATCAAATTTAACCTAACAATTTAAAAAGTGACAACATTTTTTTTATCAAACAAAAAAGTTTCATTGCATATAAGCAGTTTAGCACGCATCTTAAAATACATCATCTTCGTATCCATGGAGGATAGATGAGCTCCAAAAGTTTGAGAATTGAAGCACCTGGAACATTAGGGACATAGATAAACACAGTTTTCTCTACCTATCCAATAGTTTGGTCAAATGCTCTTACATACGTATAAGGCTTACACGAATGCTAAGCCGTGTTCAATTCTAAATCCAGTGATTTGAAAAATGTTACTAAATATAGCACCATTATTTCAACTGTTACTTTTGGAGTTCTATTAATAACTAATAATTTATGTAAAATTTATATATATATATATAAGTGAATTAATTTTGTATCATGCATTTCATCGTGTGCTTTTTATATATATCTAATAACAAATTATACAATTAATGGGTTTATATAACACTTTATTTTTTTTATTACATAATAAGAGATAATTCTCTCTGATTATTTAATTTGCCTCATCCATATATCAAACAACTTAAATGAAAATTTTTTTACTTCTAATAAAAGAAAATTATCGCTAAACTCTTTAAATACGTAGTTAACCAAATCACTTTCTAATCATTTTAAAGTTCAAATATATAACCTACATCTCAGAATGTCAAGCTTGTATTTATCAAGACACAGGCATTTCATAGAAATGGAAGTTGGCCAAAAAAATTAATGACACGGAAACTCTCCTAAAAGAGGGTGCTTGTATAGATCAAGTAAGATTGGTATTTTATGCTTTGGATTTAGATATCTTATCAAAACCATCAACGTCCCTCCATCCCAAAAATGCAGTAAATTTTAACCAAGTGAAGGCTCATTACTTCTCACATATTATATATGGTAATGCAGGTGTTAGGAAAATCTGCACTCTCCCTTTAGGGCTATAAGGAACCACAAAAAATATACCTGCTGGATAGATATTTCATTAGCTCATGTGGCCATGGGACGTCTTTTACGTGCAAACATGATCTAAACCAAACTTCCCATTTCAATATTAACCCATAAGAACGATCAAATTACTAAATCATGTTTGAAGAAGCAACTACGTGCTCCTTTTGGACATGCCAAAGCGCCACGTGTTGTGTGTTGATTCGATGATGCATGCATGCCATACAAGCTACAAATTGTTGAGGTCATTTTCTTGTTATTCTAATTTGATGATGAAACTGAAAATTATTCACTTTAGGACACCTGAGGCATTTCTTTTTATTCCCTTGTGACACATATGATTATTAATTATAAGATATATAGGAAGGATGAGCCTTTAATCTTACAAACAGGTTTAGAATATTTTTTGCACTTGATATTAATAAATAAATTTGTTTTTGTTGATAAAAAAATGTATATATATAAGAAGAACGAGTATATATGGAATTAAAATTCAAATTGTTAGGAAACGAAAGCAATTCGTTGGATATTGGACGATACATGTCGCAACAGCATGGAGCAAACTGTTCTGAGGTTGAAGACAGGTAGCATAGAAAATGGTGGTTATATAGCTAGATATATAACTGGCTTATGAGATACTCCATCCATTCTGATTTTTATTTTACTTATTAGATTTGAGTATTTTAATTAAATTGTATGCCACTTTCTACTTATATAAAATAATAAATAATATTTTAACTAACTCTATATTTATTTCTCGATCAATCCATCTAGTTTATCTATAAAATAATAAAGTTTTTATTAAAGATAAACATACTCTATTCGTCTTAAAATAACTATTATTTTTATTTTAAATTTGTCTCAAAATTTTTTTTTTTCAATTCTTTAAGACAAACAAATATTTTTTTAACTTTATTATTATCTATTTATTTTAATTAATCATTCAATCACAAAAAGTGCCTCTTCATCTTTTTATTTTTTTTAATATTATATATAGATAAATATAAACATTATCTATAAATTTTTAATTTTAAAAAATAAAAAATAACAATTTTTTTACAAAAGGAGTAGCATTTTTAACGCTTAATTGTATTAAATTTTAATCAATTCTTAAATTATCTAATATGTGTGAAGTCAAAAAAATTAGGAGAATTAAAATAGAATAGAGAGAGTAAATAACAATTATGAGAATGGAATTAAAATTCAAATTGTGTTGTGAAACGAAAACAAATCACTGGACCTTGGACGACACATGTCTCAACAGCATGGTGCAAAATGATCTGAGGTTGAAGGAAGGTTGTTTACACCATAAATTGCATTTTTAGTTATAATATACTTTACTCCTTATTCACCAGCTGTTGGGATTTTATGCCCAGCGGCAACTGGTATGGCTCAAAATGGTAGTTAACTAGATGAGTGTTTAATTTAATGTAACAAAAGTCTAAGAAATAGAAAGCACTCGAGTTGAAACTCGCTGCTAATTTGATAAATTTTTAAGCTAACATTTATAGGTTTTTAAAAATATAAATTTATATTATTAATAATAATTGATCATATAACTATATGTCAATTATACTTACTCTTTTATATTGATATGAGGTGAACAATGAGTGCAATACAAAAAAAAAAAAACAAACAAACAAACAAACCCACTTATTAGCGAGCACCGCCTTTAGCAATCCAAACTACTGCCTCATGAATTTGTCGTGGCACCCCCATTTTCTTATTTACTGTATTTATTAGTTCTACAAAATCTTATTAAAAAATAACATGATGCAAACTCAAA